TTTCATTGTATATAGTCATTTCTGCAGCATGATGTGATTTAGGTAACTAACTGGGAATTTAATACTTTCAGATCAGGTTTGGCATACTTCTTTTGTAATTATTATCCCTTTCCAGGAATATACCCACCATAAAAAAAAAAAAAATGAGCTACATTTTATTTTGCCTTTCTTGGCACAGTTGAAATTTTCTGTAGACTTTTTATAATTTTCCATCTAGTGAGGGTGCAGGAAACCAGAAGTCCTGATAAGCTACCTGACTCAGTTGACATCAGATAAGCTTGTCAAAGATGTGTAATCTAGTTTCTTGGATCCTGATCCAGTGTAATATCTGTCACACAAGAGAGACTATAATTTGTTCTACATTTAGTATGCTAGAATCATCCATTGGCTGACTGACTTCAATTACTTTTTGCAAACAGAAACCTTTATTTATCGCGGTAATGTGTTTTGTTCATTTCCAAAGTCTTAATTAATTTGTTACATGAGACTCTATCAAATAAAAGATAAATTCTTTAGACGTGCTGATTAATTTCTTAAACAATACCATGTTGCATAATAGTATTTCCTTATTTAAGAAAAATTCCTCTCTTTAAAAAAAGACTGTTCTATACATACATTTTTAGAATTTATTATGTAAAATAAGTTTATAATATGGACATTTTATTTTCCTTATGTCAATGTTCTACATCATCATACCACTTGTTATTGCATAGTAAATGCATTCATTAATTTGATGTGATTTAAAGGTTTTTCACATATTTAATTTTATAAAGAATATGCACAAGACATGAATGAGGTTGTTATCACTATCTGTTTCCTTCTTCTGGCACCTCCTACCATTCATAAATAAGAAAGGGGGTCATGTGAGGCTACTTAAATGATTGAAATTGTTCTTCCTAGAAAAATATCTGATTGAAGTATGTTTCACAGGTAGTTTGAAGAATATCACCAACTTGTGTTATTTGGGTGCGGTCCAGTATTTTGTTATAACACTGTATTAGAGTAAATAAAAACAAGTTTACATATTATCCGTGGTTTTCTTCATCTTCTAACACATTCACAATGGTCCATGACATTATTCCGACTCTTGTTGCCATGTGTGTCTTCCATTCCTTCTCATTTCTTGACATGTTTTGTTCCTTGGTCTCCATCACTCTTTTCAATACTATTCCTGTCTCAACTGTATATTAAGAGATCCTTCTAAAAACCAGTTCCTTGCCTCCCATGATCTTGTCCTACCTATACGTCAGCCATTGACTCCCAGCCATATCCTTGATAATAGCATACCCTTAATGAAGCTCCTTTATAACCTAATTCAGGTATCCCCATCTGACTATCACTTCTACATATATTTCTGCCTTACTCCTTCTGGTACCTACTAGTATCTAATATTCCTTTATTTATTTCTTTTTCTAAACTGTATGCTGTGGAAGCTTCCAAAAATAGAAAGTTGTATATAGAACCCTCATGTACTATCAGCCACTTTCAGCAATTATCAATTCATTGCCATTTTGTCTCATCTACTGTAATGTGAAGTAAATAAAGGTAACATTTCATGTTTATATTAATAACTATTTTTTAGATAATACATGTTTATCTTTTTTATTATATTACTATCAACATAAAAAAACAATAATTTTTTAATAGTTAACTGGTCTTTTTTTAATTAAAAAAAATTTTTTTTTACATTTATTTATTATTCAGAGACAGAGTAAGACACAGCATGAGCATGGGAGGGGCAGAGAGAGGACGAGACACAGAGTTTGAAGGAGGCTTCAGGCTCTGAGCTGTCAGCACAGAGCCCGACGCAGGTCTCGAACCCACCAACTGCAAGATGACCTGAGCTGAAGTCGGACATCCAACCGACTGAGCCACCCAGGCGCCCCAATAGTTTTTAACCCCAGCCAGACTTCATATTCATTGATCCCACCGCCATTTTACTGCCTGTCACATCCATGACATCCTTTTTCCTCTGTCTAGTTTATTTGTTTATTTTTTTATTTTTATTTTGAGAGAGAACAAGCAGGGGCAGAGAGAGAGGGAGAGGGAGAGTCCCATTATAATCTAATCTCCTTATACTCTCATGGCCACAACTACCTCCAAGGTTACCTCAAACTTTTAGCCTGCTCCATGTTTGTATCCCTGCAGCTGACTAAAGTTGGAGAGTAACTGACAACTACATTGACTATTCTCATTTTATTTACTTATTCTTCCATGCCCTCCCATTCGTAGTACAGACCAGGCAAAAGGCCTGGGCTGTGGTGTAGATGGGTGGATTTACTCCTTTCTGTGCAGTCAGTATAAGAATACAGCCTGGGGTAAGCCCCATGAGGCTGACTGTTCTCGTTTTAAATTTATGGTGAGTCCTTATTACTGCCCTGTAATTAAACTGTATTTCTGTGGTCTACTCTCTTTCCTACCATCCTATTTAATACCTCTTTCTTGATTTTTTAACATGTCTTCCATAATCTAGGGTGTTCTTAGTTCCACATCTTGCTTCCCAGTTCACGGGAAAAATTGAAGCATTCACAAGAGATCTTTCATAGCACCATTACCACACCTGCCTTTCCACCAGCATCTGCACCCTCATAGTTGGTTTTCTGTCTTGATGTTATGGATGATCTTTTACTGGTCTTTATTCTCTGTGCTCTGATTACTTTATGTTTACATTAGATTCTTTTATTACCTACTCAAAGATATTGTTCCAGCAATTCTTTCCTTCCCCACCCACCTCCCACCATCTCTTGCATCATGAATTTTCACTCTTCACTGGAGCATTTCATTAGCATACAGACATGCTATTATTTCTCTCACCCTAAAACAAAACAAAAAATTACAACTCCTCTTGACCCAGCTTTACCCATGGCTACCTCTTCATTTCTATGCTTCTTATTACAGCCAAATTACTCAAAAAGAGTTGCCCGTACCTGCTGTTTCCAGCATCTGTCTTCCCATTCCCTCTTAAACCCCTTACAGTGAGGCTTTTGCTCTTACCACTCCACAAAAACTGAAGTGACCGTTGCTGGTTCCTTCCCTTGTCTTAGGACTCAGTCCTTGGTCTCCCTTTCTATTTATCCAGTCTCCCTTGGTGACTTGGATTTAATTGTCATCTCTACACAACTGACACCCCATTGACATGTCTGGCCTAGACTTCTCCAATTAGTATTCCACTTGGCCCGTCAAACTTAGCTAAAATTTAGTGTAGCTGGATTCTTCCTTCTCTCAGTTGATGACAACTTGGCCCTTTAGGTGGATGAGGCTAAACATTTTAGAGTCTCCCCCTTTCCCCTCTTTCCTCTCCCGTCCTATGCTCAATCCATTCAGAAATCCTGTGGCTCAAAGGCCAGCATTAGGCCATTTGATGGTGATGTCACTGATGGTGACTAGGACAAGGACCATCCTTCTCCTAGCTAACATCACCCCTCACTTAAATTGCTCCTTTAGTTCTAGCTGGTCTGCCTGTTTCTACCCTAGTTCCTACCCTTAGGATCAACACAGTAGCCAGAAGAATCCTTTCAAACATAAATCAGATATATTACTACCTCAATTTAAAAGCTTCTAATAGCTTAACAGTCTTATTCAGGACAGCATGCTGAAGGCTTTATAATACCTTCAAGGAATTGTGATTACTCTCCATTTTTCATTCCATTTCTGCTGTCTACTTGCTGTTTCTTGAATATGCCAGGCAAGCTCCTGATGTTGGGCCTTTGCACTGCTGGTACCCTCTGTCTGGAACACTGTTTCTCAAGATATCCACGTTGATGACTAACTCAATTCCTTTTTATGTCTCTGCTCAAAGGACACTTTCTCAAAGAGACTTGCCCAGAAAGGCACAAACCCAACCTTCTCAATTTCCAGGGGCTCATGATCTCCCTTATTCTGTTTTTTTCCCCAATAAACTTATCATATGATAGCATATTACTGAATTTATCTATTTATTATATTTATTGCTCCTGATTTCTTCCCCCACCTAAAATGTAATCTTAACCAAGGGCAGGGATTTTGTGTTCTCTAGCGCGTAGAAGGTGGTCAGTCGAATGATTCCCCTTTTTTTCGGCATTATTTCACTCCCACTGCTTCTCAGAGTCAATAATGGTTCTCTTGCCAATAGTTAACTTGGACTGTCTCCATTTTAGGGGCCTGTTTTTAAAGAAATTTCTCTCTTTGTTCATCTTCTTAATCATACTGCCTTTGTGACCTTTTTTTTTTTTTTTTCACTTATTCTGTCTGTTAAGCTTATTTTAGGCAAATGTATTTAATTTTCTAGTCTTCAAATCCTATACCTTTTCTCAGCTTTGGCCCCTTCCTACCTAGTTTCCATTTCTGTAAGATTTTTTTTTTTTATGTTTATTTATTTATTTTGAGAGAGAGAGCAAGCAGACGAAGGGCAGAGAGAGAGGGAGAAAGAGAATCCTAAGTAAGCTCCGTGCTGTCAGTGCAAAGCCCAGTGCAGGGTTTAATCACATGAACCATGAGATCATGACCTGAGCCAAAATCAAGAGTAGGATGCTCAACTGACTGACCGAACCACCCAGGAGCCCCTGTAAGATTTTCTTTCTCTGTCCCAGTACTGCCAAGACATTTATTATTGACAGCTAGTTTCAGAGAGCTTGCTTTTCCCTAGAAATGCTTCCCACAAAAACATGTAACACTTGTTTCCACCTTCCATCTACCTGTCCCATCCCGCTACCCTACTTGCACCCTTGCAATCTGTAATTTGGATTCACCCTTTGCTCAGCATCTTACTAAACTGCAGATTTCCTTTTATTTAAAGCCAGTATGAAATTATTTTGTGCTACAGATCTGTACGTAGTCACTTGTTTATTTTCAATATGTTTTTGTATCTTCTATTTTAGGAAGCTGCATACACATTTGTGTATACATTTATAAGTAATATGTGTTTCATTATTTTCTGTTTTATCTTATTGCTGGAAGCAAGCAATTTATAAACCTTTCCCTATTGGGTATCTAAAATTGTTTTACCTTTTTATCTTTAATAGGTCATTGCTTTAGTGATGGATATATTCACAGATGTGGACATTTTCAAAGAAATAGTGGAGGCATCAACTCGAGGGATATCTGTATATATTCTTCTTGATGAGTCCAACTTTAGTCATTTCCTAAATATGACTGAAAAACAGGGCTGTCAAGTTCAACGACTCAGGGTAAGAATTCCATGTTTGTTTTTTCTTCAATTATTTTGTGTACCATTTTTATCTCAGTTGAATTTAAGGCAAGTTTAAGCTATATTATTCCAAATATATCTGTATATAATATGTATCTATGTCTACATATATGTAACACACACAGAAATATATTTAAGATAGCATAATGATTAATCGCAGAAGGGTATGCTTGTACTTTTTGAAATGTGACTGAAACCACACATTCTCATGATGGTCTATAAGATGCTTTTCTTGATGATGGAGCACTTAAGTTTCTGAGTTAACTTTGCTCAGTCATAATGAGTGCTTCAGTTTCTCCATGCATATAACCTTGAAACCACTGACTCAAGTGATTCTTTCATTCAGATGTTACTTATCACAATCATTAGGCATAGTGTTTTCAGTTACATTTGGCCTCTTAAAAAAAAGTGTGGATTTTCATTGTAGTTATTGTGGAATCATGCCACTATAACCTGAAAGGCTGTCTTACAATAGGATCCTAGGTGGTTTATAAAACCGTTCTGTATAAATGTAACATAATGCCTCCTGTTTATGTTATGCTAAGATACATCTATATTTTTTAGTGACTTTTTCTTAGGTGTTTTTTGGGGGGGTGATGTTTTAAAATGTGCTTTTACTATTTTTTGTTGTTATGTGTTTTTTACAAAAAAGATTATTTCAAGTATACTTTTTTGGTACTAAGATTTTATATTGACATATATTTCACATTCAAAATATCTCTTTTCTAGTTATAACTTTATATTTACCTGTAATTCTAGAATATTCGAGTGCGGACAGTAAAAGGCCAAGATTATCTTTCAAAAACAGGAGCAAAATTTCATGGAAAATTAGAACAGAAGTTTTTGTTAATTGACTGCCAGAAAGTTATGTATGGTTCTTACAGGTAAGATCATTGTGTTTACCTCCAGCATCATTAATCATTTATAGAATTTATTAGTTTCAAATATTAATGTAATCTGTTTAGATATTTCTTAGAAATAAAAAAGAACCTTTGCATGGAAGCTTGGAGACTTGGGTTTCAGTTCTGGCTGTACCTCTAAAGAACATTAAGACATTGGGGAAGTCATACAACTTCCTCGTCCTCCAAGTTCTTCATCCCCAAATTGAGATGGGTAACAAACATTTCAGGTTCCATATAGTTCTCTAATGCCAAAAGTTTTTGTTCCTTATGAAAATCGTTGCAGTATGAGCTTAATAATAACATTTGTTCATAAAAATAGAAGCTCTTTATTGCTTTGAAGAACCTGTCAGACAGATTATTTTTATTTTAGTATTATTAAGAATCTGATAGTCAGTCATGCAGTCACTATGTATAGTACTACCCAAAACGCATTTCAGAGTCTGGCTGTTAAAAATGCCATAATAGACACTAGACAAGGTTACACAGGTTACTATTATTGGCATCATTCAAGGTCCCCATTGGGAGAATACCTCCTCCATTCCTCAGTTCCGGCTTGTCTCTTCTACATATGTCATCCCCAGTCCTTACCACTTATCTACAAAGCAGTTGTTTGCATCTACATTTATCAGTGATGAAACTGAAGTTCCAGAAGGTTAAGTGACTTGTCAAAACCCCACAGCTAAAGGCCAACAGCAGTCCAGGGCTGGCAGCCCAGTCCAGGCTCTGCTTGTTCCAGAGTAAAAGTGCTGCCCTAATACTCTCACAAATTCCGGGCATCAGTCCTGAATGGGATGTACAATCAGATTGTATCAACAGGCAGATTAAAATACCAACAAGCACATGTGAACTTCTAGGTCACCAGGGCAGCACAGACTCCCAAGGAGCCAGGAGAACTATGGGGGTAAACAGGGCAGTGCGAGGGGAAACTTTTGCTTCTTCCCTTAATAATTTAAAAAGTCCACAAGAAGGAGCCAGTATGTTGATGTGATTGGCCATGGGCAAGTTGTTTAACTTGGTTCCACTTAGGTTTGCTCCGCTGTAAAGGATAATCCTCGAGCCTATCTCACCTTCTTGTTGTGAGAATTAAATGAGTTAATGCATCCGTAACCCCTAAAGTCAGCTATTATTTTAGGTATATTTTAGGTAGTAGTGACTACCTGGGAACTTTCCCTTTAAGCTCAGAGACCTTTTTTTGAAAGTGCTGTTTGTAGTTCTAAAGGAAAACTTGTTAAGAGCAGAAATTACAGCCAGTGCTTGAAATTAATGAGTCCCTTTAAAGACTCATTATATGTGTATGTATTTGTTCAGACCCACTTGGTTTTACAGGGTTTTTAATTGAAATTTTAATTAAAATTAGGAGTTCGCTTGACTTCTAGAATGGTATTTATTAATCTCACCATAATGAATGCTTTCTGTCTTTATTATTTAACTTGACTTTTAAGATTACCTTGAACAATAAATTCACCTTAACTTTGTTTTGCTACCACTAGGCATTAATAGGTGCTGTATATTGAGATGACAATGGCTAAACTACTTTTGAATTGATATTGGGAAAAGCAAACAAACCACAGGAACAAAAACCCTTTATCTTTCTATGTACATCATAAGCCAGAGGCAGAATTTAAGTTACTATTTATGGAAGTGAGGATCGAATGCCTAGTACTGCAGATGATAAAAATTCATCCAAACTCTTATCTAACAACTCTAATTTCCTTATTAGTCCATGTTAATTTTAAATACACTTCTTGAAAAAAATATGGTTGTCAGCCCTTTTTTTTTTTTTTTTTTTTTTTTTTTTTTTT